GTGTTGCTAGGTAGACGCCGTCAAGAGAAACTCAAAGTACAAGGAGTACGGAAAGCAGAGGATATTTCGCCCCCGTACAATATTCATATTGACAGAATACCTAATAGAGGTTTTGTAAGAATCATAATCACCGCACACTCCAAAAGTGATCGTATCATTCTTCATAAATTTAAAATTTTGAGCAGAAACCTAAAAAAGGGACTAAGCCCATTTTGCCATTTTCCTAAACTCTATCAACTTGTAAAACTAAATTAAAACTTATACATGAAACATTATAGGCCAAGTTTATGGTGGTGGTGTTTGCACCATAAAAGTGGTATTGGTTATGATTTGAAGCTATGGTGGATCCTTTTTCTGATCAAATAAAAGTGAGTTAACTTTACCTTTTATTTTGTTTTTGTAAAAATCATTTTTTACAGAAGTTTTTTAAAATATATATATATATATTTTTTGCATAAAAAAACGTCTTTTTATATTTTATCGTATTCTTAAAATTAATGTACTAATAGTTATATTAGTGGTAGTAGTAGGTGATTGGTGATGGTGGCAGTAGCGATGAAGGTGATGATGGTGATGGTAGTATAGTGACATTTATAAGATTTTACTTTAGAGAATATTTTTCATATTTCAAAAGTAAAAAGCTTTTTTCTGTTCAAATAAACTTGTTTTCTATTAATCATGGAAATAATTTTTCATTGACTTTTTATTTATTTTTATTGTACCAAACGCCAAAAAATATTTTTTTACTAATCAAACAGACCGTTAGTTTCTATCAAAATGATGTTCGGTGATACCTTAAAGTTAAGGGGGAGTCATGTGTAAATCTTAATAGGTGGAGTTATTGTCCAATAAGTCATGTGAGCATTAATGGCATTTTTCATCAAATACTATTAAAAACCATCACTAATTGTTAATTTTCAGCGACAATTTAAAAATTTTATCAAAATAAATGTTCCTAATTATAATTTTAGCGACAATTTAAAAAAATTGTCACAAGAAAGCGTCACTAATTTTTAACTTTCAACTATAGTTTGAAATATTCGTCATTGAAAAATGTTACTAATTATAAATTTTAGCAACAGTTTATAAAAATTAGGACAAAAAAGTCACTAATTGTCAAATTTTAGTAACTTATGTAAAAAATTATCATAAAAAATTATTTTTTAGTGATAATTTTATTAAGACTCATCTTTAATAGGAATTGATGATAATTAACTCTAACTATCAGGTTTTATTGGTAGTTTACCCTATGATGGTAATTATGCACTAAAAGACAACTTTGGTTATTCTCTGATGCAATCTTAGCCTCCGTTTGGGAAGTGGGTTGACTTTTTGGCTTTTTTGGCTATTTTAGCCTGGGTTAAAAAGCTTGGTTTGGGAAGGACTTTTTGGCTTTTTGGCTTTTTGGCTTTTTTGACTTTTTTTGTGAGAGAAGAGTGTAATAATTATGGGTTGGATGTGATGTTTTGTTTGTTGTGGCTAAAATAGCCTATTTTGTCTTTTGTGACTATTTTAGCCCCAACCTTCCTTGCCAAACGGAGTTATGCCTCAAAATCCAGTTGAGTATTTCACAAAATGAAAAAGTGCATATAATGTACATTTCAAAAAAAAAAAAAAAAAAAACACTCAACCAGTGTTCATAATAGCAAAATCTCCATTGACAATCTATTAGTTGAACAATAACATGATATGGTAAGACCACAAAACTCCTCACAAATTCAACATTAGGCTCTAAAATAACTACTGAAAAGACTCAAAGTACAACATACTTGGCCACTGTTGATAACCTATTCTAAGACAACATCATTCAACCACTTATGGCACTTCATTTCAACCATGCCATTGTCCCCCACATACACACCACTATAGCTATCTTTTCTACATGTAAGTAGGCCCACTCAGTTAGTGTTTGGATGATAAATTTAAATAGAAGTTTGAAAATAAAATTAAAAAATGTGAAAGAAATAGAAAAAATTTGTTCATATTTCATTCAAATTTATAATCTAAATATAGCCTAAACAAAAATTTGGTGCAGTCAAAGTTAGTTGCTAGAATTTATTGAAATAAATGAAATATATAAAAAAGAAAAACCCAAAAAATTGCTTCAATGTAATAAAGGAGAAGAGCCCCACAAAACTTCAGCAACAATAGATGTAGCCTCTGCCTCAGAAACAGATGCCTCTCTCACTCTCCTCAATATCTCTTGCTTCAATTGTCTCTTCTCTCCCTTCTCCAACCCCTCTCCCATCTCAAACTGCACTACAAACCTTGTCACACAGCTTGTGAATGGCCAATTCTCCATCAATCCCCTCTCCTCTATCCCGATTTTCGCCTCCGACTCTGTTTCTTCAGAATTTCCTCTGTTTTCATCCTCATCAAGTTCACTCATCTCAATTAATTCTCTTTCAATTCCCAGTCTTTGCAAATCCACTAGCTTCTTGATCATCCCTTCTTCAAGCATTGCTTCTATTGCTTCTTTCCTTGCAAAATGGACTATTTCAAGAACGCATTCCATTGCTGCGGATTGAATTAGCAAATCATTCGAGCTCATCAAGAGGCTAATAATCCTTAGAATATACCCATTTGATTCCATCTCATAAACCAAAGGACTTCTGATTAGATTGATGAGTGAGGTAAGAACTTGGATCGAACCATATGAAGAAATCGATATCAAGGCTTCAATTGTTGGACCCATTAAAACTTGTCCCACAAACACATCCTTGTTGAATCGAACCAAGGCGGCTATAGCACGAGCCGATTCCTCGCAAACCCTCTTTGAACATTTGGATTTAAACACTACTGATTCAAGAATGAAGAATATCTTTGATTTCAATATCATTTCTTGTAAATCTCTATCGAAACCATTCGATAACCGGTCTTCGAATTGAATCAACACCTTCACTTTCTCTTCTTCATCATCACCAACATCTTCTACTAGAACTCGCACAAGATTCTTGATGCTTTCTTGATCAATCCAAGCTTGAATTTGAGCCTCAACTGTGGAAGCAATTTTGGAGATCTCATAGTTGGCGATTTGGCGGTAAATGAAGGAGATGAGGCAATAATCTTGGGAGTTTTGGAGATTGTTGAGTTGGGTTTTGAGGTTGGAAAGTGATCGAGAGAGATTGAAGAGAGTTGGGTCAGTGGAAAGAAATGAGTCTAGTTGAGTTAGGAGTTGTAGAAAAGTAGTGATTGTGGACAAGTTGGTTTTGGAGCAGAGAGGAATAGGTATGGATTGTAGATCTCTAGAGGCTTTCTTTAGGCCTTCTAGTAATCTCAACTTGTTTGGGTTGTCTTGCTTCTCATCCATGGCTGCTATTGTTTGAAGCTACAGAGATAGAGAGGGATCAGTTTGTTTTGCTGAGATGAAATGCGTAAAGGAGAGACTTCAACTACTAGTCCAAGGCGGGACCAACCATTCAAAATTTGTGTTGATGCCTGGTACTCTCTCTCTCTCTCTCCTGATAGTCTTACTTGTATACTAAGTATGAGACCAAAAGGGAAGGTATGACCAACTATGCTACTTACTACTAAGGGACTATACATGTGCAACAAACTCAGCAGATACCCCTATTTCCGAGCAGTTATTCACTGTCCTTAACGGCGTGACAACGCTACAAAATGATCTCAGTCTTCCATTAGTGTGACCATGTCACACGAATAGAAAGATGAGGTCAATTTGTGACAATGCCAAAGTTTTCCCTATTTCCAAAATTGGGATGGTTGTCGCCGTAGCAGTTTGAATTGGAAAGTGGGTGATGATAACCTGTGTTTGGATTAAGGATTGTGTTTGGACTAAGGATGTGAGTAGGAATTTGTCTCAATGAAATAAAAAATGAAGAAAAACGTAAATGAAATATAAGTTTGTTTCTTTTCTTTCTTTTTTTTTTTTTCTTTGTACAAATGAAATTTTAAATTCTTAATCCAAATAAGGTGGAGCAAATGTGAAAATAGTATGGACTCAATTCACTTTTTACATATTTTCAAGCATTTTTATATATTTTTGTACATTTTTTACGTCCACATCGAGATTAATGACTACTAATTGAACCATCATTAAATTTTCCTAAAATAAAAATAAAAAAAAGCTGTGAATACACAATTTCCCAAAAGCATCTTCTTTTTTTATTTTTATTTTTTATGTTTATTAAGGGTGGAAAGAACGATGAAAACAAACAAAAATTATAAATAAAGTATAAAAGCACACAAATTGAGGGTGAAATTAAACAAAATACTTACAATAAGATTTTATTAATTAGGAGAGCTTAGGGGCCGTAACTACTCGTTTGTTTGGTGCAATGTTTTGGAACTTTTATTTGGCATCTAGTGACTAAAAGTAATAGGGACTTGTTCAACTTGGAGAGAGTTAAGGAAACTATTTAGGCATATCAATAATTTACTAAGAGCAATTCTAACATTACTCTCCATTTTCATTTTTTAAAGTTCAAAAAAATAAAATAAAAAAATACACTCCATAATTTGAAAATTTATTAAGTGTTATAAGATATTACATGTCCATACCACCAGTCAATCATCAATTGTCATGTCTAATATAAAATCATGAACCCAACCTTTTTCACCAATCACAGCCTTTCCAAGACACCACCTCACCATGTCTCAGGACAACTGAATAACCTCTCCCATAATTTGGAGTCTCTTACACTCTTCAAATATAAAATAAATTAGAAAAAATGAGTTAAAATAACTTCACTTTTAAAGAGCAAGTTGGAAGGCCACAACTGAGTTAGCTAAAATGCCTAATTTAAGCTCTCTAAAGAGCCTATTGAAAATGCTCATATCAAATTTCAACAATATCTTACCACCAGTATGTTGACTTAAATGAAAATACTTTATTTACAAGACAAAAAGATATCCCTGATGTTTCCCTTTCATTTCATAAGCATTTTTTAACAGTTCAAAAGCCAAAGCAAAATGTACAAATAATTCAACAAACTATTTCAAGTTCTCAACAACTAAACAATCAGTTAAACTAAAATAAATGAAGTAAGAAGAAGCTCATAAATACATAATTTTCTTGAGAAATTACATATAAAATAAAATTCCTATTGAATTACTATTATCTACAAAAGCATGTATCTCTCTCTTTGCACGTCAAATCAATATGTAACTTTGTATTCCCTCTAAATTTGCCTTACCATTAAATCAATTCCCATTCCATTAAGGGACTTGAACAAGCTCATCATCATCTCAAGAACTCATATAAAACTTATAATACAGATTTTGTTACCAAGAAGATTACCCTTTTGGGATATCTAATTCATTCAGAATCGCGGAGTATTGGCTGTGCAGTCCACTTGAGATGCAAATGTAGCTTTCCTGATTTAGTCCCATCTATGGTGAACGTGTCTGTGAATTCCCCTTCTAATATGACCCGAGTGAGTGTCATGATGCATTCCCCCATCTTATCCTGGAAAAAAAAAGAAGAAGAATCATTCAAGAATACTGCTGTAAGAAAAGTTCAAAACATGAGAGAAAAGTTGAGAGCAACGACAATCCCATACTTCCCAGAAGATAAATCGATTGGACTAATTATTGGAGAAGATTACCTTCCCAAACGTGTCGTGATCCCAAACTTCCAAAATTAGTAAATCATGTAACCCGTCCTCAACTACAAAGTCGAATGTTTGGTTCCAAACTGGATTCAAGGTGTTAATTAAAACCTGAGATTAATAAGGAAAGAATAAGATAAATACAGCCTTGGTTGTAAAAAAACCCACCTAGCTAAATCATTAAAATTGGGGAGGCGGGTGAAAGACCATTAGGATGTGTTTGGATTAAGGATTTGGATATAAATTTGAAAAGGGAAAAAAAAAATATAAATGAAATATATGCTAAATTTTTTCTCTATTTACCTCCCCTTTTTCCTTTTATGTTCTAAATTTCTATCCAAATTCATGATCCAAACACCACCTTAAGGTAATTATATTAGCCAAAGAATATATTCACCAAATTAAAATATGTTCCCTGGTAACACTAGGTTTGTTTCAACATGATATATTTTCCAAAAAATGGTTTTCTATGTTTGGTTGCAAACTTGCGACCTTGAAACTAATGTGCTATGGTTATATTAGTGATAATAGTGATTGAGTGGTGGAAGTGGTGGTGGGGTGATGGGTTGGTGGTGGTCATGGTTGGGTGGTGGCAATGGCGGTGGTGGGGTGGTGAAGGTGATCGTGTAGTGGCATTGATAAGAATTATAGTCCGGAAAACATTTTCCACCTTTTAAAAATGAAAAACATATTCAGCTCAATTAGCTTGTTTTCCGTACGCCAGAAAATGCTGAAACATTTTCCAAAAAATTATTTCTGCCAAAAACAAACCTGGTGTTAAAAGAAAATAAAAGAAGAAGAAGAAGAAGAAGAAGAAGAAGAAAAAGACAGAAAGAGATAGAAAAAGTTCATAAAGTGAACATGTTCTTTCGGCTAGGAACTTAATGACTCCATCTGACTCCGAGATTGAATTAAGAAAAAGAGGTAAAATTGCTTAACAAAGTAAACTTCCTTAAGCATTTCTCTCAATACACATCATTCTTCCAAGAAACAAAAATGGATTTTAAAGAATCTTACCCGAGTTTTGCTTTTCTGTTCGGATTTCTTCATTATAAGTACAACATATGGATCCGATTTTCCCATTATATCAACAGATGGCAAGTTTTCAGCAGATATTACTGTCACAGAAAGAACTCCTCTAAGGATTACATTCCTTTTCTTCTGAACTCCAGATTTTGCAATATCAGCAGCTTCTGTTTGATCAATTCCTGTTTTAAGAATTTTTTCCAGTTCAGTCAACTGGAAATCGGGGTTAAAAGGATTTCTAAATGCACTCTCTGTGCCGAAAGGGCAATATAAAAGCTCCAAGTGCACCTACAAGACATAGATGATTACGAATTTCAGAATAATGAAGCAAAAGAAATCATGTTGCAGTTACTAACAATAGAAATTACAATATCTTTATAACCATCTCTCTCTCTCTCTCTCTCTTTCTCTCTCACACACACACACACATGTACACAAGCACACACACACAGAAACGTAGACATATGCAGACACACATTGCTCTCATATTCTCTTTCTTTGGCTTAACATAATTTTACTCACAAAGCGTTTTTCACTTGGACCCAACTAAACAAGCCTTTTTTTCACTTAGGTTTTAAGAAAAACGTGGAGAGAATTTTACTTAAGACACCAAATGTAACTATAAAAGTAGATTATGGACGACACTATCCAAATACTACTCTTACGATTCACGAATAGATTTGCAATTCATGCATAGATCGATACGAATATATAAGTGCATCTATTTTTGGGATAGAATCTATGTCGAGTGATTCAAGATTCAATTCACTTTTTTACGATACATGCACTTCTTGAAACCATCTTGTCTGATAGATTACCTTTTTTCCCCTCTACTTTTTTAGTGAAAATAACATAACACAATTTCTAAGAGGGCTTAGTATGAAAATAACTAATACCTATGCATATGTGTTGTTATTTTGGTGATTAGAGGGTTTCTGATAGGATCCAATCAAATTTAGTCAGACCCAACATGTTTTTGTCCTTTTTTTTCATCATGTTTTTCATTAATAAATAAATAAATCATAATACATCTTCTAAGGATATTTAAGGTTTGTACTAAATCTTGACGATTCTCAATTCACAATTCGCAAAATTAGGATTTCGATTCACGATACGGATCTTGATTTGATAACTATGCTACTATCTATAATTAAAAAGAGATTCGCGAAGAAGATTCAGTTGGGAGGCTCACCTGACCTCTGTCTTTAGTATCCCTCTGAACCACCAAATCCTTGACCAGTTTCAACCACACGTCCTTGACCTTACCAGGTTCAAGATCCTTCAGTGCGATTTGAGCACAACCAATGAATTCAGAAGGCTGAAGCCCTTCATCATCAAAAACTCTTACTGTCAAGTGTTGGGTCGATGCATCTTCAACAATGAACTCAAAGTGTTCATTCCAGATTGGATTCAATTGGTTGCTCTAATGAAATATTCATGAATTAAATCAAATCTAGGCAAGAAATAAACAAGACGGACTTGATAGAGATTAAAAATTAGTTTTCCTTACAATTATTTTGCTAGTTTTCATTTTGTCGGGCAGTGGGCGTATGAATAACACAGCATAAGGATCAGATTTCCCGATGATATCTTTGTTAGATAACCCCTTTCCTTGTACCAGCTTCACCTCTAATGTTCCAACAGGCTTCAATTCTAGGTCACTAAAGCATAAAAAAAAAATTCATGAATGAGGACAGTTTGTTTGACTTGTCTCATAATTTTGAGTATACAAAACAACATTATTTCTAATTATTAATGCACTTTTTTTTCTACAGATTGTTAAATTTAGGCCAATACTGGGGTGCATTGGTGATAGATACTATCTTATCAATATTGAGGAAATAATGAGGGGGTGAAGAAACTGGACATTTAAGCTATATTTGGTTGAAGAATTTGAGAAGGGCTTCGCGGACGAAAAGGGTATAGGAAGGGAAAAGTGAATGAAATAGAACTAATTTTTTGTCACATTTCCCTTTCCTTTCCCTTCCTAAACCCCTCCTAAAATACTAGATCCAAACACAACCTTAGTCGATCAAACAATGGATATTGGCAATAGTAGTATACCTGTAATCCCCCGGTAAGATGGGTATAATTTTCCGAACTGGCCAAGTAATGGAATCTTCAATAGCATTTCGTATCGTGTCCTACATAAATAAAAACGACAGCTTCATGTCACGACACACCTAAGGATCCAAAAACCCTACATCCATAATTGTAAAGAATATATAACTCGTCTAAAAATAAGTTATTCAGTTATACACAAGTGTGAAAGAAATAACAAATAAATAAAAATATAAAATTTCTCAAACCTCAATAGCATCAGAAATTCCAGGAATTGCTGATAATTCCCCACCTACAACTTTGAGTGTAAAGTCCATGTTTTTCTGTGGCAGAATCATAGGGAGAATTGTGGTATCAAAAATCAAGTGCATTGTAATTTTTCAAAATTTTATATACTTCTTTTTATGATGACATGATAAAAATATGAATATTTGCACAAATTTGGGTGATTTATCATGAAGATCACTTCCAAAATGTTGGAAACTAGACTAATAAGTTAAAAGAGTGACAAAGATACAAATGACTCACCTTTTCCATCAAAGAATAACAAATAGCCCCAAAACACGGAAACTCGTTAACTAGTGGTTTGAAAATTAATCTGAAAACTCCCGTGAATCCAATATTTTTGACCTAGATGAAAATATATAAGAATAAATATTAAACCGTCATCTTATGGTAAAATTCCAATAACCGAACATTCTTAACTTCATATCATGTTATCCAAATTTTCAGTCACCTATTATTCTTCAGAGAGAGTGAAAGAGAACACATTGATTATCTATAAAATAAGTATTAGAAGTATTATACACAAAAAAAAAATAGAAAAAATAATATGTGAAAATAAAATAAATTTCAGAGTAGTTTTGTAATAGTTTTGCTACAAGGAAAAAGCTCTATTGATATAAGAAATAAGTTGAAGATAACCTGTATAGGTAATCCAATGCCGACTCTAGTTTTAACATCAAGTATGATACTAGGGTTTCCATCCCATTCCATTTCCAATTCCATCGTGATTCCCTTAGCATCACCTTCAATAATTGAAACCCCTAAAAAGATCAACAAGTTTCTATCAGTACCATAACAAAGATTAAAATAAAATAAAATTGATAGTCCAAATAAATTTAAATTATTTCCTTCAATTCTTGTGTCTATTCTTGAAGATGATTGGCTCTACCTATGGCCATAATAATTCCATAAAGTAAAAAATAATGATATATATATATATTTAAAGATTAAAGAAACAAAAGTTGTGGAATGTGCAACAACTTTAGACCAATCCAATCTGATAGGCCATTCTTTTCTCATTTGATTTTCTCATAAGAATGTAATTGTAAATTGAGAAGTACAATTCTTTCCAAAATCTATGAAAGCATTGGGATAAAAATTAGTTAAACTTCCTTATTTACATTTTGTGGAATTCTTTCTTTCAACTCAATTAGAAACTTAAAAGATGATACATTACTTTTAACGATTACTAAATTTGAAATTAAGTCAAATTCATATTAGTAAGTTTTCATATTATTAATGGTGATTTGGGATTTTTTAGTCTCATCAAAGATCAAACAGAAATCAAACAAACCTGTAAATTGTGGAGCCACAGTACCAAGAGTCAACTTTGAAAACTTGAGAGATGATAAGATAACTGATCTATATTGTTCGAGAATTGGCTCAGCAGAACTTCGAATTAGCTCTGATGCTGCCTATGCCACCATGTGTCAAAAATGAAGAAATTTAAGGTAAAAAAAATAAAATGATTTCATTGTCATCACATTGAATCCAGCAAATAAAATGCACTATAGTTGGTGAAGAAAAGAAAAACTAAAAATCACCTCATTTACATATGGCCATATTTTTTTAAGTTGAACATTAAGCCAAGTTAACTGCAATTGTCAATAGAAACAATATCATTGCCATAATTATCAGAGAGAGCAACAGTTATAGATAAGCATAGTCATAAATGAATTAAGGGTAAATTACACTTTTAAACCTTGTAGTTTGACCCAAATTTTATTTTACACTCTATTGTTTTAATTTGAAAAATTTTGGTCTCTACATTTTAAGTCGAGTTTTAATTTGGCCATTCCATTCAAATTTGGTCTCTACATTTCAAGAGATTGACGAGTGTTTCAAAATTGTTAATTTTAACATCCAACTTGAATAAAATTTTCTTTATGCATACACCTCAAGAGACTAACAAGTGCCAAAAAAATCATGAATTTTAACCTCTAATTTGGATGGAAGACTAAATAGTGTAAATTGCAAGGATCAAATTGTTTAAATTAAAATAATAAAGACTAAAGTGAAATTTAGGTCGGTAAAGTGTATTTTACCCATGAATTTAGGGTAATTCTGTTTGCACATCACACATTATCTTACTAGTATACAACATTTATACTGTTTGGATATCAATTACTGAATAAAAAAATAATTGTCTGGATATCAACTATTGAACAAAACCAATTGTTCTAACAAAAATCCTATTCAATTGTTAATATCTCAAACAATTGATAAATTTAAATATATATTTTATTTTTAAAATCGATTGTTCATGTCAACTCGCGCGCACATGCAAACGACCAGAAAATTTTTTAATAGCCCCCGACTCGAACTCAGGACCTAAGTCTTTTACTGCTCAACTAACTGGGGTTAATATTGGAACATTAAATTTTTATTTAAAAATTAATATCCAAACCGCACGAATGGTGTACATTTAGATAAATTGTGATGTGCTCCCATGAATTTTCAAGTATGTGTATATATATGTATTTATGAAGAGAGAAAAAAAAAAAAAAAAAAAAGAAGCGCGAGAGAGAGAGAGAGAGAGAAGAGTTGTAGATTGAACTCAACTTCTGTCTTTGAGTAAAGACAACCCAAGAAGGGTAGAACTCAGGTGGAAGAATTTTTCTTGAATCTTCAACTGTCATACGCGCGAAAGCGGCAATAGTTGTTGCCTAATAATCCAAAAATAAAAAATAAAAATGAAAACAAACCCAGAAAAAATTATTGCAAAATTGATTGAAATTGACAAAGTCACATGAACTGAAAATTAAATGGTTATGATTGAGATACCAAATCGGAGCGACGCTTGGATCTGATTTTCTCATACCGAGCGAAACCGAATATTAATCCGATACCAAATGAAATACCCAGAAAAAGACCCACGTAGAAAGACATGTTTGGTTTCCGAGAAAATCTCTACAAGTTTTTTTTCTTTCCTTTTTTTTTTTTGCCTCTCCAGTTTCTACAGACAGCTTGTTGGGTTTGACATTTTGTTGAATTGAGAGAGAATTGATGATTGGTAAAACAGAAATTTGATTGGGAAGTTATGGTGGGAAACGAACGTAAGTGGGCTTATTGTTAAACACTACTATTATTAAATTACTGTTTAAAGATTTTTTTGTTACAGTTCAGTTGGTGGAGTTTGATCTGGAAAAGGAAGTAATATGTTCTTTTCTTTTCGCTTTTTCGTTTCCTTCACGTTCTAGAGTTTCTACTTATTCTCACTGTCTTCTACAATTTATAGCGTAAATTACACTCATTTGATTCATTTATATTATAGTATTTTTTTTATTACTAATTTGTTAATTAATTTGTATAAAAGAATGATATTTTCATCGCTTTACTATTACAATATATATTTATTTTTATTTATTTCAAAATTTATCGATTATCTGTATTAGTTCTAATCACTATAACTTTATCAAAATAAAAGGAGATTTTTAATTTAAAATTCATGATATTAAGATTTTATAAGATAAAGGATATATAATATTTTCATACTAGGTGGGGTCTCTCAGCATTTTAAAAGATAAATTTTAGCATTTCAAAAAAAAAAAATTATAAAGAAATTTCAACTCGTTATAGAGAAATTTTTCACAGGAAAAAATGACCAATTTTTCTGTAACGAGTTGAAATTTCTCTAATAATAATATTGAGGAATCTTAACTAATAAAAAAAACATATTAGACCTCTTTTATTATCAAAAGTTAGAGAGCAATATTTCATTAATTTTCTTAAATAAAAGTTAGTATAATTTATATCAAAAGTATGGAACTAATTATATTTTTTTTCAAACCTAAAAGGAGGTGAGTATAATTTACCCAAATTTAATATTTGAGCAAGGGTTGGCTTCCCTCCCTAGACTGAAAACCTTAAAAATAAATAAATAAATAAATAAATAAAATAAATAATTTTTTTTTAAGTACATGATGATACATATCATTGGTATAAACTAAATTTCATAAGTTTAATATAATTATATTAAGGGTAAATTATATTTTACTATTTTTATATTTGGCCACTTTTCCACTTTCACCCTTAAAGTTTATTTTTTCTCACTTTAACATTTATGTTTCAAATTTTTCCTAACTTCGGTTAAAAATTGAATAGAAAGCGACACATTGTCAATCAAATGACCGTAAAAATATTTTATTATATATAACTAATATATTTGACACAAACTTAAATTTTAATATAAAAATATATTTTATATATGTAATAGCATTTTTTGTATAATTTTTAACAGAAATTAGGTTTAGGAATAAATTGGAAAAAACTTAAAATATAAAGGATTAAAGTGAGAAAAAATAAACTTTAAGAACTGAAGTGGGCAAAGTGTAATTTACCTTTATATTGAATTTTAATTTACATAATATTTAATTCATTTTCATCAATAATTCATTAATCATATAGATAGAAAATGATATTATTCTTTATTTCACACAACAAGTTTAAAAAAAATGTTACACTTTTGGGTTCTACTCGACTAGATCAACGAAAAAAGGTTTTAAAAAAATAAAAAAAATAACCCAGAAAAGACCAAAAAAGGTAAAGATAATTTGGTTTTTTTGGCTTTTTCCCGATGTTTTTAATTAATTAAATTATTTTTATTTTTATTTTTTAAATTTGTATACACAAGATTGGAAAAAAAAAAAAAGAAGCCAAAACTAGTTGGCTTTTTTTTTTAATTTTAATTTTTTTATTATACTTTTTAGATTTATTTACATAAGACAGACTTGAAAAATAATAAATTTTGACATAATTTTGAAAAAAAGATACAAAAGAATGTGACTTTTTTATTAAAAAAATGAAGCCACATTTTTTTTTGACTTTTTATTTAAAACATGTGGCTTCATTTGAGAATTTGTCTTGAAAATTCAAAAAATTATTAAAAAAATGAAAAACTACTAAAAAATAAGTCTTATATACCAATCATTTATATATTTTCTATACAATTAAAAAAAAATCATTCTTGTGTGTATTAATTTCTTTTCATCTTATAAGCCAGTATCCATTGTGTTTGATAGAGATTCAAAGTTTACTTCAAGATTTTGGCAGAGTTTACAACAGGCTCTGGGGACTGAACTGAGGTTGAGGACACCCACAGGCGGATGGCCAATCTGAAAGAACCATTCAAACCTTGGAAGATATGCTCAGAATGTGTGTTAGATTTCCAAGGAAATTGGGAAACTTATCTGCCACTAGCCGAGTTTGTGTACAACAATAGCTATCACGCAAGTATTGGTATGGCTCCTTATGAACTTTGTACAGAAGAAAATGTCGATCCCCGATTTGTTGGGCCGAAGTAGGTGATAGACCGTTATTGGGACCGAAACTCGTGTAAGAAACAACTAAGAAAGTGAAATTGATTCAAAATGTTTGAAAACCGCCCAAAGGCGCCAAAAGAGTTATGTTGATGTTTGGAGAAGAGATAAAGAATATGAAGTAGGCGACCATGTATTCATCAAAGTAACACCTATGAAAGGCCAGACACGATTTGGGGTTAGAGGCAAATTAGCACCGCGATATATTGGCCCGTATAAAATCATTGAGAAAATAAATCCGATGACATATCAGGTAGCCTTACCTCCAGTTATGGAGAATATGCACAATGTTTTTCATGTTTCGATATTTCGGGAATATTTATGAGAGCCGCATCATGTTATTGAGCCAACACATGTACTCCTGAAGGATGATTATACATATGAAGAACGACCAATTCAGATTGTAAACTGTCGAATTAAAAGACTGAGGAACAAAAAAATTCCATTGGTGAAAGTAGGTTAGCAAAATCATAGAGGCACGTACACAACTTGCGAGACCGAAGAGGACATAATGAAGAGATACCCTGATTTGTTCCCTTTGGATTCGATATTCTTTCAATGCGAAGGTAATTTGAGTTTGGAGAACCAAACTCTTTAAGAGGGAAAGACTGTAACAACCCCAACTTGTGATTAGCTTGTAAACATTACTTAAGAATGCTCAATAAGTAATTATGATGGAAACATGTGTTAAGTGTGTGTCATATGTGTTAATTGTGTGTTATATGCTATTGTATTGGTCGGTTATAGAGACATCTGTTCGTGTTTCTGTTTCATTATATGAATTAAAAGCCTTATCGGCGTCTGAACGCGAAATTGACTCCATTTATATGTTGTTTAGAATTTTTAGAATTTTATGGTAAGTTTAATTGGATTTCAATTTGGAACCAAATAATTAGAATAAAATAGAAACAATGGATTAGCCTTAACTCAATTTAATTAACTAATGCTAATTGAGCCTATATAATGCTTTTTACACATCTTCTTCATCATTTTGAGCACACAATCGTGGGAGAGAGAGAGGAAGTGAAGAAAAGGGTAAAACCCAAGGAAGATAGGAGAATTTGGAAGCATAGTTGAAGCATTGGCTTGCTAACTCAAAGACATAGTGGTCTAGAGCCTAATTGAAGAGTTTAGGTGAGGATTCAAACTTTTAGTTGAGTCATTGAGACATTTAACACATGAATTCAAGAGAAGTAAGGTGATCAATGCAAGAATTGAGTTAATGAAGAAGGAAAGAAAGCCATATCATGAATGAATGTCTAATTCATCACCATTTGTGTTTGATTTCAAAGAATTCTCACATGCATGTTCTTATCTTGCCTATGTTTTAGGAATTCAACATGTTTTTGTGCTAGACATCTCAATTGAACATGTTTTGGAAGGTTTGGGTTCATAACAAGTCATGCATGCTATGTTTTCACAATTTCAAGTTTGACTTTGAACAATTCACTTGCTTTTGGGCCTTGATTTTGCGAAATGGTCTCTAATTCATAATGTTTTACAAGTTTACAAGTCTTTTCTTAAGTTTTGGCCCAAAAGAATGTGTTTTGGTGTGTTGGAATTGAAGTTTGGAGCTTAGAGAGCAATCAGGAAATTCCAGAATTCGTACTCTTCGTTTGAGCGGTGGAGTCTACACTCGAGCGAAGAATGCAAACTCCTAGTACTTTACAGAGTTTTGGGGTTGGCTTGAGTGGCAGAACCTACGCTCGAGTGACCACCCTTATTTTGAACCCTTAGCTCAAGCGACATAAGTTGAGCTCGAGCGTAAAATGAGAGCTCTCAAAAGTTTTGCAGACCAAGGGGTTTGCTCAAGCGAAGACTCTGTTTTCAGCAAATTTGACTAAGTGTTTCAAGTTACATTTTGGCATCCTTATTGTATCTTAGGCATTCCTAAGCCTTAATTAAGACATGATAATGAGGATAAGAGTTAGAAACACATGTTAAGAAATAAGTATGATAAGTTAAGCGCTTTTGGGGCAAATGTTCAAGTGTATCTGTCACGTGTTAGCACCCGTCTGATCGATCTATTCTGTCCAAGTGATCTATTTTGTTATCAGAGCTATCTGTGAGTGTAGACACCCCATTTTTGACCGTCCTCAAGACTTGGACGTCATCGTTTGAACACTCGATGATCATCCATGTTTGTGTTCGTTTTGAGTTCCCGGAGGTCTCGGTTGCACGCCTTGCCTTAGGATCTCTCAACTTGACTGTTTTGTGCTTGGCTGGACCAAGGACTTGTGATTTTTGCACCTGAGGGTAGAAAGTGGCTTGTTGGCCACCCCTTTAACCCACCGGCCATGGCCTGAGGCCACCGGCCTTGCTTTCTTGCCACCGGCCAAGTGTATTGGTTGATCGGCACTTTATTTAGTCGGCCGGCCATGGTGTTGGTCAATTGGCCATTTTTTGCTGGCCGAACCCTATTCATCTGCTTTATGCAGATATTTTGTGCCAGCTGGCACAGACCCTATCCTCCATACACGTGTATGGAGGATTTTGAACCTTTGTTTTAGCTTCTTGAGGAAGCTTGAACTTTTTGAACCTTTGTTTTAGCTTCTTGAGGAAGCTTGAACCTTTTGAACCCTTGCTCTAGCTTCTCCAAGAAGCTTGAAC